AAGAGCAGATTTACGATTTGCATCTTCTCATAACTATACGTTCTCTGGTGTAGGTGTCGCTGTTGCGAAATTTGCTGCTCTTTATAACCGCCAGACGTCGCAAGCAAGCTAGTGATAATAGAAAAAAAATAATCGCAGTTAATAATGAAAGGCACAGCAAATTTAATAATTCTCTTTATCGTTTACGTCACTTCGAATAATTTTGCATCAAAACGTTTTTAGTGTGTTCAATAGTTGCCAATTGCAATTTAGCATATTCAATCGCTGCAAAACCCACTACTTGATAAGTGAGTTTCTGACAGTAATCGTTATCGCTCGATGAACTGCCAATTGCCATCACAATATAACACGTATTGTGCGATTTGTAATTTGTGCGAGAAAGTGCCGTTTTCATAAAAAATATCACTAAATAAAAGTGCGGTCCGAGCGAAAATTACTAAAAAGAACGTGGCTTTGAAAGCCCATTGTTGAACAATATAAGTGAAGGATTATTTTTGTAAAGGTGAATGCAATTTCAACAAAGTGTTTAGAGCCAAACAATTAGCAAAGAAACAGATTAGCTCTTGCAGAAGCGTAAAATTTTGGATTTTTCCATGAAGTCTTGGGTGAACGATGTACGAGTCATCACAATGATGGAGGTGTTTTAAGGATGTTAGAAGAGGAAAGGGCATTAGCGGGGTAATCAGTACATTTAGCACCGTGAAAAATTTGCTACACTGACAGCACACGCACACTAATGCAAGTGTGGGAGTGCGTCAAATACTGTTTTGCATTTGACGAAAACAATGTGGGTGCAAGCGGCGCTGGCATGTGTTAGAGCAAGATGGCTGGTCGTATTGGGTGGGTGACATTTGTTTTGCGCTGCTCAAACAGTGCTGCCAAGTGTCAGTGTGTATTAAGAAAGTGCATTTTCTCAAATTGATGTTCGCAAAATCTGTAAAAAACGTAAAATCCCAGTTAATGCTAAATAATTGTAGTTTTTCCTGAAATTTTAGACGAAAAAGTGAGTGTAAATCGAAGTGAATGTGCACGCGAGCGAATAAGTGGATAAATTTGTGCTTTAATGTCGATTTTGGCCTATTTTAAGCGCTTGTGCCGAGGTCGAGATTAACGCGACGTCGTCAGTGCGATTGCTGTGTTTGCTTGGCTTTTGTTTAATTAAATTTACGACTTTGTAGTACTGGAACTGGTACTAACGTCGCAATTTGTTGCAATTTAAATTGCAAGTGCTTTGCGAACAAAGAGAATATCAATTCAACGAATTATATAGGTTTGAAGTTGCATTCATCTTGCGCCAGGATTAGAGGAGATCTTATGGCCTGTTTTTGCTTATGTTATCCTTCGCCACAGTTGCGTGTGTAACTTTTTGTGTTACTGATTTTCTTTTTTGCCAGTGAATGTTAGATATTTACGTACCTATGTATGTACATGTGTTTGAATTAGGGCTATGTTAATCCGCCCCACAGCTAAATGAACGCTGATGTGGACTGATAGGCCGGGCGAGGGGGCACTCAGCAACAGAGTGCGAAAAACACTGGAAGATTTAACAAATATGTAAACGTTTTCCTAGGCAGTGACATTGAATAGGTTTCTATATTGCTGCTCTTTGGATATTCTGAAAAAAATTGCATAAACGGGAATTGAGTATTCTCAGAAATGGCTAAAATGTAAACTTTGCGCAAAAAGTTCGAGAGAAGTTGGCGTTGAATTGTTAACGCCCACAATTATATCAGCAAAATATTTACGCATTTTGTCCTATTATATTACTTTGTCACGCATTATATCTAGGAAGTTTGATTCCGACAAATTTCTCTACTAATTTACTGCAAATGACTAGCTTAATCATTCTCTAGTGTTTTTCCAGCTCCCCTTTTAGCATATGTACATACTTACATACATACATATATGCACCATGTTTATCACCAGAGGTGAAATAAACTTATCAAAAGGACGTGGAAAACTAGGGGAAAATTGTCAAATCCTGCACTTGTTGACGTTTCACGATGTTCTTCGTCATTTTGCTTTCTCTCGTGCTTCTCTATATCAAATTTTGTTTGGTGACACATCGTACATCGTTCGCCGTCAGCTGTTTTACTTTAATAAATTTCAGATGTGTTGTGTGTTATTGAATTTTTCAGTTTCTTGCGTTAATACTTTTCCGGCTGTGTAGTGCATTTACTAAAAAGTACTAAGCGTAAGTTTGGTGGTTGCTATTCCACTCGCTTTAAACGATATGAGTTCAATGTGTTTATTTACATACAAACTCGCCTATCTTTTTACGATTACTGGTAGTATTGCAATGTATTTTTCCCTCTATAAATTTAACCTTTTTGAATTTCTTATCAGTGAGAAAAATCTATTTTGGCTAGGTACAACATCGAACTTCCAGTTCCTGCATTGGTTTGGTTTCAGTAGCTCCAAGAAATTTGGTACTCATTCTATGATGACGTGTTTGGTTTCATAATTCCATTTTCTATCTTTATTTTACATATTTAAACTAACTGGCTTTTTGTTTATTCTTCAAGGTGCTTGACATGATTTTATCGCTCTGTGTATACAACTCTATCCGGTGTTGTTTGTGCGCATCACATGATCTTCCAAGTAACAATAGCGTTCGATAGCGCTTATATTTTTGCTGCGAAACATGCAAATATGTATATACATATGTATGTATTGTTTTTCTTTGAGAAATTGGTATTGCATTTGCTTTGAGTGGAGTATTGATTATCTACTGAGAAATGTTGTTGTTGTTAGGCTATTAATTCAAAGATGTTTCTATAATTATCTAACAAGGCGAGCCCATATAAAAGGATTTGCATTGATAGTAGGTTAAGGGCCGTTTTCTGAAATAACCTTTAACTTTAAAGCTAACTTTGTATTTAAAGGTTGATTTAAAAATAAAGGTGCGACGTTTAAAGTACAAAACCGCGTATCAACAAAATGCTAAACCGCGTATCAAGTTAATACAAAACCGCGCATGTGATTTTGCATAAATTATTTTCTAGAGAGTAAAAACACGAATTTCAAAATGGTTCTCTTTTTCAGGACGAATGGATAAGGATTGAGCCGAGAGCTTTTTTTTCATAAATTTTAATACAACCTTTAACTATAAAAAGAGCTTTACAGTTACAGGTTACTTGAGAAAACGGCCCTTAGTACGGCATTATATCTCGTTCAACCATCTGCGGCACTCTGAAGGCACTTTCCGATGTTAATATATGAGTATAATGCTTTAGGGGCTGCCTAAAAGTCAGAGAAGTTGAAGACTTGATTCTTGTTTTCATGAGAGTCGGGCCTACACACCGGAACGATCCAGATTCATATCTGGCCAAGGACTGTCACATGATTACTGTTATTGGGAGTTTGAGTAATGCTGGGCAACCAACACTTCACTAAATAAACAATGCGCTGCTCAGCCTCAGTTCGGCTGAGAAAACTGCTCTTCCGACTTCCCCTCAAAATTATTATTTTTTTAATCTAAGTCGTATACAATCTTGCTAAATGGCCCAATAATATTTATCATTTTCTTTTTTATTACACTTATTTCGCTACTTGTAGGCTTGTGCAACTGCGTAATTATTTATTTTAAAATAAAAAATTTAAAAAATGATAAGGCTCATAAAATGTATTTTTTCGCAATCATTTGTCACTCAAATTTTACCGCGGACAATTATTCTAATGCAAGGGTTTTTAAATTAATAAGCTTGACATACATATCGCTAGCTTAGAGTGAACAGTTTTTAAATCAACTTTTTATGAAAACTCATATTTTGATACAGCATGCTGGAGAAACTGGCTGGAGCTTTGTTGCTTCGTTTTAAACATGCAAAATGTTTTATTCAAAGTAAAAGAAAAACTTGAAGAAAATGGCTTTATGAAGTTTTTTTCCTCCTGTAAAATTTTTAAAATGGGACTTGGCAACTTTCACTCAAGCGATATGTACTTAATAAGTACTACTTATATTTTTTACACTCCAAGGTGCCCGACTAGGCACTCAACACATACACTCATTGCTATGGAGTATTTTAAATAATAAAATAGGTACACTATTGCCTTTGTTCCCTTCAATGCCAAGGCATTTGTTTATTATAATTTCTAAGTTTATTTAACGCCCGCATTTCTTGACGTACATTGTTCTTATAAACATGTACATACATATGCATATAAATTATACTACATTTTACGATTCATTAGCGTTTGCGAATATGTTCATTTATTCATAATCATTTGTTGATCGACAAACTTGATTTGTTCTCCATTGTTTTTGCATAAATTAGAACACCTCTACTGTGGCTTGCTTTGTGTTTTGCAATACGTATTCGCTACCATTTAATTTTTCATTGCTTTGCTGGTTTGTTTTCTACATACATATGTTTCTTAGCGTTTTCATTGTTTTTCCTTTGGTTTCTATTGAGTTATTGTTTAATTAAGTTTGCGGCAAAAGCAATGTTTTCGTAGCAGTGCTGGTTTGTGGACAAATTGTCGCCACTCTCGCTCATACTTATGCACTGGTGATGTATTTCTAGTCAGTAGTAGCACTCTCAGTCGGCTTGAGACGTGCACTTGGACTCGTTTATATTTCTTTATTACTTTTCTTTCCATATTTCCCACTCACCACAACGGTTTAATTGCCATTGTGTTTATGTGAATATATCATCATATCCATGCGCTGTCGCTATTTGCACTTAATTGCAGCTATGAATTCCAGCTGGCGGCGAGACGTGACGTTGTTAAATAACGCTAAAATGTGAGATTATCTAAATAAGCGGATTACACAATAATAGCGCACTTTTCATTTTCGAAATTACTATAGCTTCAACGTCTTGTTTTAGCCGTTGGGTAAAACATTCTTCCGACAGTTTAAAATTCCTGAGTGAAATTCATTCAAGTTTAAACGAGCTAAGAATTTCATTCGACAGCTTATTGCTTATTGTAAATCATCGAGGATAAGAATACAACTGGAGTTAGTGTGGTTCGTTTAGCACCATCTTGGGTCAAACTGGGAATTGTGCCAAAAAGTTGTTGATGTTGTAACAACATAAATATTTTCAAAGAAATTGGGGAAAGTTCTAGAATAACAGTCCTTGGCCAGAAATATATGTGGGTGGGTCCGGGTTTGGAGACCGCTCTGCCATATGAACGTAAATAAAAGTCATACTACCCTAGGAAATACGCTCTCTGACCAGGATCTGACCAAAGTTAGAGGGATTTTAGATGAGTGAGTTTAAGTCGGCATATTAAGGAAAGTTTGTGGCGGGAGTCTTTTCTCCACATGCAGGACATACATATATTCTGGATATATAGCCCCCCACTGTGCTACCACAGTGTACAGAACGAAGCTGAGGAGGTGCTGGTTGGGTTTCCTTCGCAGATTTAGCTATTTTGAAATAGATGATCATTAAATTTCTATGACCGTAATCATTGGGGAAAGCTAATTAGGGTATGGACAGATTACGTAGAATTAATTTATTGCCTGTTGGTAGCCAGTCGGATACATCGGATATAAGGTATAACGCGGCAAGAAGTACCCCAAAGAGCAAACGTAAACTACTTAGATTGATTCCTACGTTATTAATTTTCTGTACAGACTTTAACTAACCGCCTCTTTTTCCATTCATGATTTCCTATCGTCGAAATTCAATAACGCCTCGTCACCATATTCGATGCATTCGCTTGTTCTGGCATTTGTCAATGTCAGCAGTGGCCTCTGTGATTATTATTATCGCAATCATCGAGAGGAAAATAAGTAAAGTAAGTAATTGAAAAGAGGCAAGGGAGTATCCATGTGTAGTAAGAGTATGCGACAGTCATAAGAACATAGTTCAATCAACGAGCGTCGCAGCGTCGCAGTCATTATCGACGACAGCTTGTGGAAGCCGTACTAATAACGAGCGAGCAACAAGGGGCTGGTAAAAGTGAGTGAAGGTAGACTGACTAGACGTCAGTTGGGGAAATGCAAGTGAAGAAAAGAAATTTCAATAGAAATACAAATCCAAAATACTTGTCGCTAGACAGCTAGCTACTGACGCTTGCGCTTTCTGCTTGTGGTACATATGTACATACATACATGCAAATATACATATGTTCATAGTTATATAAACGGATGCAGCGTGCCGCAAAAGTTATTAATTTGGGCAAAGTGGGACGCAATGTTGTGATTAACCGGCGATTGACGAGCGCCAACTGCTGAACTCCACTAAAATCGGGCGACCCACTACTGCCTCGCATTATTAAATGTGAATGGTAATACATATGTATACATACATACATGTACATATGTATTTATGTTTGTATGTTTATGACTATATCTGATTGCCGCATTGTTGTGCTGGCGGAAGTGAAGTGTCGCTGTTAATTTTACTCGTTTTGTTTTTTTTTTTTAACAAGAAAGATGATTGCGTACCAAGAAGCGTTTTGTTTCAGTTGTGTCTGCTTTTCTCTTTTCCTTGACTTGCTCGCCTGCAGCATTCTCTCAATTTCAGTTAAATATGCAGTTGTATATTTTTTTATGCTTGTTTTTTTTTTTAATTATTTTATACTTGTTGCTGCTACTCACTATGACCATAATAGCGTAGCAATTCCTATTTCCCATTTTCCAATTTTTTAGTTGCTTTTTTTCTTTTGTGTTAGCTTTTTTGCTGCCTGGTAGGAATTATGCATTTATAGGCGTATATGCGTTGTTTTACTTTTGATATCTTATCAGCACCAAGGAAAATTAACCAATTCTTTTGTTTACGCATAAAATTTGAAATATTTACAAAATGCTTAAATATTTGCTTTTGATAGCCACTGACAACTTATTAATATTAATTTAATATTCAGTTACATTCTCATGATTCACTGGCTAATTTAAATGGTGACGCAAGCTTTTTGTGCGCGTTTAATTCTAAAGTATGGTACAGTAACATTTATATGTATGAAATACAAAAAAAAAACGGCCGGTTCAAAGGCTTAAGAAATATTTAAAGATAAAATATTATAAGTATTACCATTTCAACACTTACATATCTACTACATCTAAAGATACTTTGAATTCTTATACGGTTATAGGTAAATTTGGATTGTTCTAACATCGTAAATGTTTTCTGGTTCTCTAACTAAACTCAGAATCAGATACAAGATCCCCTATTGGCTTGCTAGCAGTATTTTAGGAAACATTGAGGTACTCCGCTCGCTCTATATGTGAAGCAATCGGCAGGTCTGTCAATGCCGGATGGATGCGGAGCAACCCGTTAAGTCCTCAAAATCAATGGTCCTCGATGCTCCGGGTAATCTCTAAGAACTACCATGGCCGCCAACAAACAATACCTATCCTCGTCAGCTCTCGCAAAAAAATTATAAACAAATTTCTTTCTAGTTTTAGTAAAAGTTTAGGAAAAAGCTGATATTTGGCTCCGAATTTAATTAAAAACTAGTTACAAAAATAATACAATACACTCACATTGAAATTCTCCTTTTTTTATATCTTTTCAGTAAGAAAATCAGACCACATCTGACAACATCGGCCGTCCCCTTTTGCGTGAAGGTTTGAACGCGCACTGCAGCTGTAAATTTAGCTCCACATAAACAAAATTCGACCAACATTCGCAACAATCGAACAAACTAATAGTTATTAAAAAATACATGCATACATATTTCATAACACCGAACAACAACATCACCAACAAAACTTTTTAGGCGCAAGTTATAAAGTTAAACACCGATCATTTGTAACTGCAGCAGCGTGGGAAGGTAGCGCAGAACAGAATAGAAATCCGTTTTCAAGCAAACGAGAAAAAAAATCATTCAAATACCACCACTACAAAAACAACACCAACACCAAGATGGCAACAACTGCTCGTAGCGGGGGCAATGCCAGCGGCAGTACAGCTCAGCGTCCCAACGGTACACAGCAGAATAAGAATTGCCAATTCAAATTGGTGCTATTGGGCGAATCAGCGGTGGGCAAGTCATCGCTTGTGCTACGTTTCGTCAAGGGACAATTCCATGAATACCAAGAGAGTACGATAGGCGCTGCTTTTCTAACACAAACCATCTGCATAGAGGATACGGTGGTCAAATTTGAAATATGGGATACAGCCGGACAAGAGCGGTGAGACGCAAGTGTGCTGTAATGCATTTGTCGCTTTTTAATATGTATGTGTATGATTTGTCCAATTTTATAGATACCACAGCTTAGCTCCTATGTACTACCGTGGTGCACAGGCTGCCATTGTAGTGTACGATATACAAAATCAAGACAGTTTTCAGCGTGCAAAGACCTGGGTCAAGGAACTGCATAAACAGGTAAATAAATTGAATAAACCTTCAACCAAATACGAGTATTTGTTTGTTGGTGTTAATGTGTATGTATGTATATTGATGTATGCATATATTTAAATTACATCGTGTGCCAAATATGATATAAAATAATTGCGGCTTTTTTATTTTTAAATTTGCATGCATATATTCATATAATTAGGTACATTGACAGCGGTTATTGACCGCAAATTCGAGCGCTTCTTTGAATGGATTGCACAAAAACAAATGACACTCTTGTAATCATTGTTGTTGTTCGAAAATTGTACTGCTAACGATTTGCTCTGGCAGTCAAAGTGTGGATTACTTCTTCATGGTTTGCTTTGTAGAACAAAATTAATATTAAGTTTGGGTAATATGAATAGTCTTTGCGGATGAAAAAGTGAAAACGGTCCAAAAACATGCCGAAAAATGTGTCAAGTGTCTGGTGAGAATGCTGTGAGGGAACTCCAGAATCACGAGTGGTTTGCCCGATTCCGTTGCGAAAATTTTGATGTCAAAGATGCACCTCGCTCTGGTCGACCAGTCACTGGAAAAGTCGATGAAATAAAGCTGCATGACGGATGCACTAAATATCAACCATAAGACCATTTTTAAAATGCAAAAAAACATTATTGCCGAATTACCAACAGTGAAACGCTACGAAGCCGAACAATTTTTGAAGCAAATCATTACCTACAGGCGATGAAAAAATGGATTGAATACGAGAATAAGAAACACAATCCACATGGTCAAAGATACACAAACAACTTAAAAGCTTGGTTTTTTTCGAGTCTTTGGTGGAATTGGACGGTAATTGTCCATTATGAACTGCTACAACGTCGCGAAGCAATCAATTCCAAGTTTTTCGCTGATAAACCACAGCATTTCCAGACCGATGGAATTATGAAGCTACTCGAAAAATGGCAAAAGGTCGTAGATAATAATGGCCAATATGTGCTTTATTAAAAATGATTTCCAATAAAAAAAATGTGCTTCTTAAATGTACCTATAACTCAGCGGAGACTTCATATGACTCAATATAATGTTTATGCTGATGGAATAGGTTAACAAAAAAATTAATAAGAAAAAATATTTGTACATATATGTACAACCTCGCAAGTATTCTCTTGTGGAAATGAAGTAAAATCCTTTTCTACCTGATATTTCCAATATAAAGGGTACTTGTTCCTTCTTTTCTACCATTGGCGGATACACCATTTAATACTTTCAACGCATGTTCAATCTTAATAAATATTTTCCTATAGAGACTTACCACCTCGAAATTCTGACAAACTTAGCAACAACGTTATGGGGGGAATTCATAGGGCTACTCCTAAGTGGAAAACTGAGGCGAGCTTATGGAAACAATATTGAGTGTTTAACAGCCGAAAATTGCCTAAAGAGTTCCTATGGAAGACTGCTGAATTGAAAGTCCTTGGACTGGTATATGTAGAGCCGACTGTAGTGGAAAAAACAACAACAGTCTTCTCTAATGCCCTGAGAACCTCACCCAGCTGACGTCCCTGTCCTTATGGACACACCCTGTTGAAGTCGCACACTTCCTGGGCCTCCCCTTAGCTGAAACAGATGACAACGTTGACGGACGAACCGACCCCAGCGGGTCGACAGTCTGCTCTCCTTCTCGGCGCACACAACCGCAATTGTTAACAGAGAACAGAGCCGCAACAATGTCCTCAAGTCGCTGGCCGGCAGCACTGATTGCAGAAGATCCCTCGCCAAGGCACGTCAGGGGGCATCTTTACAAACTGACGTCCAAAGGTTCATTAAACAACCGCTGGACCCAATCGCATACAGACAGGCAGAATACACTAGGATGTGCCCAACCAATGCCTGGCATGCGGAGAGTCGCCACATGACTCACTGCATTTCTTCGCAACCCCACCCAGCTAACGCCCCTGTCCCTATGGACAGATCCTGTTGAAGTTGCGAACTTCCTGGGCCTCCCCTTAGCTGAAACAGATGACAACGTTGCTGGAAGATCCGACCCGAGCGGGATTTAGTAGCCGCTACAACAACAACAACAACATCGCCATTAATTCGGGAAGCGTTTCACGAAGGGGATAGTCATAAACAGCCGCATCAATAGTGGCCGGATTTATGGAACCAGAAGTTGAAACCTTAATGAACTAACTTAAGATAGCGAACTCTTATCAACCCTTGTTAATTTGTAGCTAGCCATGCTTCCTGTGCCGCCAAACGAAGAAATCAATTTAGTGACTTGACTACCAATGTGGCGGAAATAACACTTTTCCCTAATTTCGGTTAGCAGGTTAGTCGATTTTCAGAGGGATGAGGAAGTCTTATCGCCCAGCAACATGGAAAAGCTAATGTCCAAGCTCCCTCTAGCCCTTTTCCCCAGAGTTGAAATAAACAAGGCGGTAGTTTTCGTAAAGAAATTCAAAATAGAGCTCTGCAGGATAACAGCTTGGAATGACTATTTTGGAGGGACACACACAGGCAAGCACTATGTAGCGGTACAGAGATTCCTCATTAACCTACTTAATGAAAATCTGAGGATTGTCACGGGCATTGCAGATTAGGATGAGATCTGCACAAGTTAGGCATCTGGTCATAACCTCTGTCACTTATGCGATTCGGCTAAGGGGACACCGTTGTACCTATTTCTTGAGTGTATGGCAGTGGCGAGAAGACGGGAAAAAAGTCGGAATTCAATGTGGCCAGAGGATAAGCGCATACTCTCCCTGCCCCCGAAAGTTCTTCTAGACTTTCTGGAGATTGTAAGACTGAATGAGGTGTTGTGATAAGTGGAACGCAAAATAGAGACCATAAGGTTGCTGTGGACACCTCTCTTTTTCAAAGGGATAATTTCAGCTATATATGTACCCGTTATATATATATATGTTTTACTCCCTAAGGAATCCAAATATAAAGACAAAGTTCGCACAAAATTCTTTTTTAAATTTCACTAAATAATCTCTTTCTACTTTCATTTTTAGGCATCGCCGAATATCGTTATTGCCCTGGCTGGCAATAAAGCGGATTTATCAAATATTCGTGTTGTAGAATACGAAGAAGCAAAGCAATATGCCGAAGAGAACGGATTACTCTTCATGGAAACATCGGCAAAAACGGGAATGAATGTTAATGATATCTTTTTAGCAATTGGTAAGTTATAGTCAAGAGGGTTGATAACAATAAGGATTGAAGTGGATTACATAGTGAAATGGTTCCCTTAAAGTCGACAAACTGGAAAACTTGAAACACGTACCAATTTTTCGCAGAATTAATTTTCTTGTCGGACAACTTTTTCACTTAAATTTGGAGGCGAACTTTCTAAAAGCGATGAATAATAATTTTTGAGTTTTGACTAAGTCTTCCAAATATTGGGAAGTTGAACAAATTAAAGTATAAGAGGCTCATTTTATTTATTTATTTATTAATGAATGATTATTTGGAGCAATAAAATAGCCCGATATTGTTTAGTCAGGAGAGCGATACAACGCCATTGGTATAGATTTTAGGTCCGAAGCTATGGTCAGAATATGAAACTTCGCTAATCTTTTGTTTCCAGCGTCCAATGTTAGTCTTGTTAGCCAGACCAAATACATTTTTTTTTGTGGGTGATATAATTACTATTTTATTTTAGTGCTTGTAAACTTGCACTATAAATAATTCTTTTTTTCCATACCTGCTAACAGCTAAGAAATTACCTAAAAACGACGGAGCAAATAATCAAGGCGCTCCCGCTGGTAGAAGGCTGAATGATAATGAAAATACCCGACAAACAACCAATTGCTGCAAGTGATGTCCTTTTGTAGGTGAGTGCATATTAACTTTTATATTTTTCCCCCACATTTTCGTATTTTGCATCACATTAAAAAATTTTCTATTACCTCATTTACAGAAAATGAAATTTCCAACGAGAGATTTGAAAAAATTATGCTGATAATTATAAATAAAAAAATAAATATTTAAATTACAATTTAAAAACCAGAAATAGAAAGCAGAAACAAAAATACGGATGATAATGATGATGATGATGATGTTGAGTGGGAAAGCAACCAATAATAATATAAAATATAAAATTTAAATTATGAAAAATTATGATAAGGATGGTAATGCTATGAAAATAGATTAAAATAAAGTCACATTAAAAATCGATAACAGAAAGAAAGTAAAAACATAAAACAGAAAACAAACAAACGCTCCCTTTTCAGCTCCCTCGTCACCAAAATCAGCAGCAATACTCGAGCAGCAATGTACTACTACTTTCTAATACAGCTGCCTAAATATATAATCTGTTAACACACCCAGATTTCACTTTGCTCCCGCATCCACATCAACATTTTACGTTTGCGTTTGTTCACTCCTCGAAAAAGAACACAAAAAAGTAAAATCCGCAAATTCAGTAAACAAATTAATAATCTATACTAAATGAAAGTTCAAACGTAAACTTTTTCAAAAATAAAATAGTAAACAATAAAATACAAAAATACATTTAAAATATGCATTGCATTGTGTAGTTTAATGAGTAATGACTATTACAAAGGTTGTTGGAATTTTGCGCTGATCGCATTCGCCACAACAATAGAAATTCCAAGCAACAGCTATTAACATACAAACATACATATAATATTCTTTTGCGATGTGACCGTCTGAAATTGCAGTGATTGTTTCTATGGGCTCAACTGTTCACCATAAACATGTACATACAAACATGCTTGTTGCAAGCACTTAGTTGGTTGTTTGCTCGTCTCGTCGCTGCGTCGCTAGGTCGGTGTAAAAATGGTAGCATTTTTGTTTTTCGTTAGTTTTTTGGCTAAGTCAATTTATCAATGTGTCAAGCAAATCTCTTATTAGCAATTCCAAATTGAAATTCACTTTCGGTTAGTGTATATTCACAAGAACATTTACTATTAGAACGCAACGTTTGTGTGATGATGATCATAATGATGACGATGATGATGATGATGTTGATGAGGACGAAAGTATGCTGTTTATAATAAATAAAGTATTTGAGTTATAAATTTCTCATTTCACACTTATGAATAAACTACTATAATTATTATTATTTTAAATATGTATGTATATGTATGCATATAAAATTTATAAAAAAAAAATTTATTAAAAAAAAAATTATTTTTTAATCGAAAATATAATTACGAATAAAATATTTTCCAATTATACATAAATAAATTTACTATTATTATGTTGTATGTATGAAACAAGAATACATAATAAAGAAAGAAAAATTCCGAGGAAACCCACCAAACAATTTGTGTTGCCAGCAATAAGAAAATGTGTCGCCCTCGGAAACAAATTTATTGCCGGTAATATTGCCATCGAATCGATTTCCTATTACCGGTCGCTTTAAAACGTCCGCCGAAGGCAACTCGCCTGGGCGAGTCGTTTTCTTATTACCTGAATAAGTCCTTTTCTTATCGCTTCAGGCGATATTTGGAATAATTTTATTCTTTTTAATACTTAATTTATTTTTTTGTATACCAAATTGCAACTTACAATCGGAATTAATTCATTTTCTCGCTGTGAGGCTTCCTATTTTTTCAATCTTGTCCTTGGGCATAATTTAGATGCTTTTGGCCAATACTATTGACGCCATATTCATAAGTTTCGGAATTTTTGAGAACTTTTTTATTCAAAATTGACATGAATGAAGTGATGTTGCCGATTTGTCACCACAGCAATAAATCGGTGAGTCGCCAATTTGTTGCCATTGACGATTGTTGCCTATTTCTCATGTTTTGCATGGTGGGTAGTTATGTATTTATGAGGTTCAAAATTTAAGTTTGTACGTGACAAAAATAATGAATATGTATGTGTAATAAAAATTATCTTATTTTTTCTCTGTTAATAGCGGATCCTGGCGACAAAGAGATACGACTCGACAAGAGTAATTATGTTATTTGGGCTCTAGGTCAGTTAGACTCCAACTCAGAGCCAGCATTCCATTATGTTTATCCGAAAAGTGATATACTCATCGATTTCAATACAACAGAGCCAATAAATGACTGTTTCAGCTTTACAAAACGTCCAGAAACTCCTGTCCAAGTATGGGAACGTGTACGTTTATATGATCCGTGAGTATATGTGCAACGTAGTATATAGTTTATATAATTGACCGCCCTATTCCCACACCACTGACAAAACTCAGCGGCTGACTATTGCCTTTACTACTGCGCCTAATACTATGCCGCAAATTTATTTTAAGCTGTCGTATGACAATTGTCAGTTTTATTGTTATGACCTACTGAGTAAGTGACAACGACGAAACAATGTTTATATTGTGTTTTAGGCGCAGTAATTGTGACAATAGTCATATGATAAATTTTGTCAGTGTTGTGGGAATAGGGCAGTAAATCTCTGAAACTTTAATTGACCTTCAATTGTAAATATTCTTTCAGCACATTGCGTGTTTTTAATGCCTACTTGGGACCTTCCGGTG